TGATATCTTTTGTCTTGAAAGGACTAGTACTTTGGTTGTTAATGACAATCATTTACTTCTGCATACATCTTAGTAATAAATGCTAACCAGTATAAAACCATTTGAACTTAGACCAACATGAAAAACCCGGAAACACTGGATAGCCATTTCGTCCTAGTATTGAACTCCTCAGCAGTGAGCAATCACTATCCCGCTTCACGAGATCTAAACCCAGAACTTATCAGTCTCGCACGCGAACGCTTAACCTTAAGATCACTGAGCCAGTCGATATCCAATGGTGTTAATGTCTAACATCAACTAACTCATTTCATTTTGTTTGTTTCCAAACATCGAATGTGAACAAACAAAACGTTTTATCGAATAGAATAATATCAAAATTCAGTTGTAAATGATTAAACTATTCCTAGATTCATGAGTAAAACCGTTAGTCTATGAACTAGAAACCGAAAATTCATAGATTAGATGTATCAACTATGACAATAAATCATTACTTTGTTTATTACTAACCTTATAATTTTTACAGTGGATAATGTAACTGTTAAGCCGTTGATTTATAGCTTTCAACCTATTATCAACTTTTTTATTTACGTTAAAGTCTCAGATGGTCCACAAGGGCTTTGGGTACCTGTGTGATTACCTCATAGGATTGAGCTAAACTATTCAGATTGTAGTGTTTAAGCCTACATGATGTCTGGTTCTCCTATGATGTAGGGTTGAGCTGTAATGTTCGGGATATAAATTTTAAGCCTGGATGTTGTCTGGTTCTCCTGAAAAACGGGATTGAGTTGTACTGCTCAGGTTAAGCCTGGGTAGTGTCTGGCTTTCCTGTTAAACAAGAGTGAACTTTAGTCTTCGAGTTATCACGTGAAAGTTTGTATGGTGTCCGGTTCTCCTGATAATCAACGGAAAATTACCCTAGCCTACAAAGGTATATTATATAACTGTGAATAAAGTCTCAGAAGACCAAAGGCACTGAAGGTTAATGCTTAAATCAAAACTCTATTGAGATATTTACTTTTGAGCTTTAAGTATATGTCACTTCAAATGTTCTCTGATGACAATACATTATTATACTCAACATCTTTTAGTGGGAACCTCCATTTTGACGTCAGTTGAATCATACGATATTGTCGACGAGCTCACCACTTTAGTGGCCCAAGATTGTATGGTTGGTTATTACGGAAACACATATCTTCTATCCTCGTATAAAATTATCGACTTGAATCGCGTTAGTGAATAATGGAATTAAAATAAGTCAAATACAAGAATGGATTCTTGAATACACTCGTTGATTTGAACAGACAATCAAAGAGACGTGGCGAAGGTAACAAAGAAAAGAGAGCGAAATTAAACGAAATGGCATGCAGTGGAGTAGGCTCGTAAGCCAATTCGATCTAATCAATATTTATAGTCCGACAAAATTAAACTACAGACAAGTGATGAATAGGATAAGAAATGTACACACACACACACACACGCTTATATAATAACGGTCAGGGTTGATAAGTGGACAATTAACAAGGTCAGAGACAGGACTCAAGAAGAATGAATCAACTGACCTGTCCAGAAGTTAAAATCAGGTATATGGACTTAACATAGTAACCGACACTACACTCTAAAACAATTAATGGCGAGACTATAATTTATGAACAAATCAATCAGATTTACGATAACAGATTTGGAATTTTGGCGCGGAATCCACTCACCCATTTTGCTAAATAGCATCATCGCATTATAACTGGTGTCAATTCATGATGAAAAACCGTCAGTCTAATTCCTAACCCTAATCATCAACTGTAAATCATAATCCTTATTCTTTAAACTGCTTTATAACCCTCATTTAGCTCTAGTAAGTAGGTAGACACTCTCAAGGTCACTTTAGCGTCACCCAAATATCGTCGTTTGACTTTCGCCAACTTACGTCACCTATGGCGAAGGTGAAATATCCGTCTATCAATAAAAAACGAGTATACTGCGCGGCAGTCCGTTCTGTTTTAATTTACGGTTTCAAAACGTGACCATTAAGAGTAAAGGATATTGGTAAGCTACTAGTACTTGACCATAGATGTCTTAGAAATATTGCTCGCATATGCCGGGATCACCAGGTAAGTAATAGTGAGGTTAGACTCGGGGTATTAGGGAATGGTGGTAAATCAGTTGATGAGATTATAAATCGTCATTGACTGAGATGGTTGGACCACGCGCTGCGTATGCCTGAACACCGATTACCACGACGCGTAATGCTAACCGTTGTTGGGTATGGTTGGAAGAAAGTTAGGGGTGGCCAAACCAAAACGTGGGATCAGTCCATAAGGTCACTAACTTCTGGTCTGAGCCATGTTGATAGATGAAGACTACTTGGTTGGGGTCCACTTGACTATCGTAGCCAACGGCTGAAGACTGTGAGTGACATGTATCAGAATCGATCACGATGGCGCAGGTGTATACACTCTCAGTCTCCCCTTAAACTATGAGATTAAAATAACTTTATATTTTTCTTTCTATGAACTAATTTTTCGTTCCTTTATTATATCCTTATACACAATCTTTCTTTTATATATTACCACCACTGAATGAACTACTTCTATGAATTCGATTTTTATCTTTCTGTGCTAATGCCGTATGGCAACTTGGACCGATGCATATATGTGCCTTGTAGCTGACTGACTGACTGACCGTCCGAAAATTACAGTCTCACCCAACTAATGAGTTTAAACTCATTCAGTACATAAATCTATTGATAATGATAAGGTGAAGTTTACTACTATTTATTGATTTTTAGTGATTACTTGTTAAGTTATAAACAAAATAGTAACCGGAAGTTCATATTATTAACGGAAATAGAATATTTTGTAGCCATGTCAACCATCTCAATTAAATATTATAAGAATAAGCACTGAATTTAATCTACAAGTCGATATACATTCCAAAAAGGTTTACTTTAAAAGTAAATACACTTTATGTGCCAATAGTATGTCTTATATTTTTCAATCACTTGAGGGTTTTCGACTTAGCCGTATGATAGCTATAAACAAAAGGAAGAAGCAATAGTCCAGTGCTTCCAGGTTTTCCATGGTGACCTAACTTCAATCGACTCATGAGATCAACTATTCAAATTACTGCAATCTCCAAAAAACACCTTCTGATACTAATCAATATATGCTCACTAGTAACTGGCTTCAAGAGTTACATCCTGGAGGTCTAGTGAGAATCAGTGACCAGTGGAGTTCAATCGGTTCTGTTATGAGATATTAACTCACTGATGACAATAGTTGATGTGTCACTCGATTTCATCGATTAGTGGAGGTTAGATATTAACCCCATTGGACGCCGGCCAGCTCAATAGTCTAGTGGTTAAGCACTCGCGTTTGAGACTGATAGGTCCTGTGTTCGAATCCGGCGAAGCGAGATCGTGTATGCTTACTGGTGAGAAGTACCACAATATGACGAAATGGCCGTCCAGTTCTTCCAGGTTTTTCATATTGGTCTAGCTTCAATTGACTCATGATTTCAACCATTAAAATTACTATAATATCCACAAAACCGTTTCCGGAACTAAAGTTAAAAGTATTTAATAGTTGAATTGATATGACACATATCTTAGTAGTCTAAATCAAGCGTTATTCAATTTTATAAAGTGGGAATAGGATAATGTCTAGTTACATCATTTAAGTATGTAATTAACTAACAGAGTATCTGAAATCTACTTATATAAGATTTAAACTAGTACCTATGTTAGAATGAGTGATTATTTCATAGATTCATTGATAAAGTACACTATACTGATTTTAGTCTTACGTTAGTTACAAAAGGCTCCCAAATCCTCTGATAATGCCGAGGGTGGGGAGAGTCAGCTCTCCTTCTCCAGATACTCTCATATGATCACATGCGTACAACCACTGTCACACAAGTCCTACTCATTGCCTCTTTGCGGTATGAGTGTTGCTTACGAAATTAAGAGGATGAAAATCGAATGTCTGACGCTTTAACCGGGTTAGTGGATATGGAGGATTCACTCAGGGGGAGTTGGAAAACCCTCATTCCAAATCAGTGCTAAACATGTGCTCCAGGATCCTGAGGAAATTAAAGGCTTATGAACCAATTATTGGTCACCGACTACCATGTGACTGAATCTCCTGACATTACTCCATTACATTGTGAATTAGACTTATAGGTCGATTGCTCCAATTATGGCGCCACTAAGAAAACCATCTACTTCAGTTTGGATACCCATGCAATATCTCATCCCACACACAAATCAACTAACTTATGTCTACGCAAGATACTCAACATTCATTGGCCCGATACCATCAGCAACACTTACTGTGGTAGAGAACAAATCAGCCTCCAGCTGAAGAAGAAATTAAGAAAAGACAATGGAAATGGATAGTACACAGATTACGCAAATCATCAAACTACATCACGAGGAAAGCCCTAACTTGGAATCCTGAGGGGAAGTGGAAAAGAGGAAGGCCAAAGAACAGATTACGTCGGAAAATAGAAGCAGATATGAAAAGGATGAATAACAACTGGATGGAGCTTAAAAGGATTTACCAGGACAGGGTTGGATGGAGAATGCTGGTGAGCGGCCTATACTCCTTCACGAGGAGTAACTGGTGTAAGTAAGTATGTATGTATATATGTATCACATATATATTCAGTACCCCTTCTTATCAATATTTATTGATTATTTATTTTATTCATTGTATACATCAAATATCTTTGGATCAATAAAGTACTCTATTGAAATCAACAATGCAATATTACATAACTGATACACTTCACAGAGATTATTATGATTATGATTATCAATAACTCCGCCCGGAGTCCCTCCGAGGGCTACTGCCGGTCCTAAGCCCGGATAAAGGAGGAGGATTGGGCATGGGGTTCGCGACGCAATCCCGTAAAAAAACTAACTCGCTAAAAAAACGCTAACCAAAAAGAATTATTCAAACCTTTTAAACTCTGCCCTCTGATTATTATTACATCATAAGACTTACTTCAGATTGTTTAGACATGCATGACAATTTAGATCCCATATTTCATCAAATTGTTGTTTATTATATAGACTAATATGTTTATATAAACAAGCAATTAAGATAGATGTATATAAATCCAAAATGATGATACAGAATTTATTATTTTTGTTCTATTATTAATTGAGTTGATGATTGTTTCCTGTTAGATATGTCAATGTTTTAAAAGTAATTCCAGTGTAATAGATCAATATTACTGTTGCTGACACGGATGCCGATACGGTTGCTGATGCGGTTGTTGATGCGGTTGCTGACTCGGTTGCTGATGTGGTTGTTGTTGTTGCTATGCGACTATTATCTTTTCTTTTAAACGTAGACACTAGATAATCTATGTACTAATGTTTCAAATATAGAATTTTTGCAAGTTTATACACTATTTATTGTATAGTTGCTTAAATATGAACAATCATACATTAAATAAGAGAGTATGTATATCACCTACGTACAATCATCATAATATACATTTCTCATAAGGTCAAGTTAAATATGAACAAGATTTTGATAGACGGACAAATTTATGTATTAAGTAGTATACATTGACAATAACCAATTTATAAATTTTTTGTCAATGTTATATATGACTGAATAAGTAACCAATAGAAAGAAACTATTATGAATGTATATGTAACTATGTATATATATATATTTATGTATCCATGTGTATAGGAGGTAGTTTTTTGCTTAGCAACTTGTAAGTGTTTCAATGTGGTACGTGCATGCATGTTTACACGTGTCTATAATGTACAGAAAACATAATATACATATATATAAACAAAAAGATCTATAGAACTGATGATGGTGATGATAGTAAGATTCAATGTTCAGAATGAGGTTTGTGAAGAATTGTGTCAATTTTCAATAGTTGAATGTATATATCAATGTAAGCTAGATCATCATTGGAAAACTTGGAAGTATTGAACGATTGTTTCGTTCTAGCAGTACACATTCACAACCATGCACATGGGGACTCGAACCTGGGATATCGAGTCTTACGTGTGAATAATTAATCTCTAGATCACTGAGTTAGCATCCAATGATGTTAATATCTTACTTCCATCGATCCATGAATGGCTACGCAACTATTGATTCATTTTCTGAGATAGATATTTGTCTCTATCCGACACGGATTGGACTCCAGTGGTTATGGTTTCTCACTTGAATAACAGGAAATCATCTTGAAGTCATTCATTAGTGAACATATGATGATTATGATCAGAATGAGGTTCGTGAAGAATTGTGTTAATTTTCAATAGTTGAATGTATATATCAATGTAAGCTAGATCATCATTGGAAAACTTGGAAGTATTGAACGATTGTTTCGTTCTAGCAGTACACATTCACAACCATGCACATGGGGACTCGAACCTGGGATATCGAGTCTTACGTGTGAATAATTAATCTCTAGATCACTGAGTTAGCATCCAATGATGTTAATATCTTACTTCCATCGATCCATGAATGGCTACGCAACTATTGATTCATTTTCTGAGATAGATATTTGTCTCTATCCGACACGGATTGGACTCCAGTGGTTATGGTTTCTCACTTGAATAACAGGAAATCATCTTGAAGTCATTCATTAGTGAACATATGATGATTATGATCAGAATGAGGTTCGTGAAGAATTGTGTTAATTTTCAATAGTTGAATGTATATATCAATGTAAGCTAGATCATCATTGGAAAACTTGGAAGTATTGAACGATTGTTTCGTTCTAGCAGTACACATTCACAACCATGCACATGGGGACTCGAACCTGGGATATCGAGTCTTACGTGTGAATAATTAATCTCTAGATCACTGAGTTAGCATCCAATGATGTTAATATCTTACTTCCATCGATCCATGAATGGCTACGCAACTATTGATTCATTTTCTGAGATAGATATTTGTCTCTATCCGACACGGATTGGACTCCAGTGGTTATGGTTTCTCACTTGAATAACAGGAAATCATCTTGAAGTCATTCATTAGTGAACATATGATGATTATGATCAGAATGAGGTTCGTGAAGAATTGTGTTAATTTTCAATAGTTGAATGTATATATCAATGTAAGCTAGATCATCATTGGAAAACTTGGAAGTATTGAACGATTGTTTCGTTCTAGCAGTACACATTCACAACCATGCACATGGGGACTCGAACCTGGGATATCGAGTCTTACGTGTGAATAATTAATCTCTAGATCACTGAGTTAGCATCCAATGATGTTAATATCTTACTTCCATCGATCCATGAATGGCTACGCAACTATTGATTCATTTTCTGAGATAGATATTTGTCTCTATCCGACACGGATTGGACTCCAGTGGTTATGGTTTCTCACTTGAATAACAGGAAATCATCTTGAAGTCATTCATTAGTGAACATATGATGATTATGATCAGAATGAGGTTCGTGAAGAATTGTGTTAATTTTCAATAGTTGAATGTATATATCAATGTAAGCTAGATCATCATTGGAAAACTTGGAAGTATTGAACGATTGTTTCGTTCTAGCAGTACACATTCACAACCATGCACATGGGGACTCGAACCTGGGATATCGAGTCTTACGTGTGAATAATTAATCTCTAGATCACTGAGTTAGCATCCAATGATGTTAATATCTTACTTCCATCGATCCATGAATGGCTACGCAACTATTGATTCATTTTCTGAGATAGATATTTGTCTCTATCCGACACGGATTGGACTCCAGTGGTTATGGTTTCTCACTTGAATAACAGGAAATCATCTTGAAGTCATTCATTAGTGAACATATGATGATTATGATCAGAATGAGGTTCGTGAAGAATTGTGTTAATTTTCAATAGTTGAATGTATATATCAATGTAAGCTAGATCATCATTGGAAAACTTGGAAGTATTGAACGATTGTTTCGTTCTAGCAGTACACATTCACAACCATGCACATGGGGACTCGAACCTGGGATATCGAGTCTTACGTGTGAATAATTAATCTCTAGATCACTGAGTTAGCATCCAATGATGTTAATATCTTACTTCCATCGATCCATGAATGGCTACGCAACTATTGATTCATTTTCTGAGATAGATATTTGTCTCTATCCGACACGGATTGGACTCCAGTGGTTATGGTTTCTCACTTGAATAACAGGAAATCATCTTGAAGTCATTCATTAGTGAACATATGATGATTATGATCAGAATGAGGTTCGTGAAGAATTGTGTTAATTTTCAATAGTTGAATGTATATATCAATGTAAGCTAGATCATCATTGGAAAACTTGGAAGTATTGAACGATTGTTTCGTTCTAGCAGTACACATTCACAACCATGCACATGGGGACTCGAACCTGGGATATCGAGTCTTACGTGTGAATAATTAATCTCTAGATCACTGAGTTAGCATCCAATGATGTTAATATCTTACTTCCATCGATCCATGAATGGCTACGCAACTATTGATTCATTTTCTGAGATAGATATTTGTCTCTATCCGACACGGATTGGACTCCAGTGGTTATGGTTTCTCACTTGAATAACAGGAAATCATCTTGAAGTCATTCATTAGTGAACATATGATGATTATGATCAGAATGAGGTTCGTGAAGAATTGTGTTAATTTTCAATAGTTGAATGTATATATCAATGTAAGCTAGATCATCATTGGAAAACTTGGAAGTATTGAACGATTGTTTCGTTCTAGCAGTACACATTCACAACCATGCACATGGGGACTCGAACCTGGGATATCGAGTCTTACGTGTGAATAATTAATCTCTAGATCACTGAGTTAGCATCCAATGATGTTAATATCTTACTTCCATCGATCCATGAATGGCTACGCAACTATTGATTCATTTTCTGAGATAGATATTTGTCTCTATCCGACACGGATTGGACTCCAGTGGTTATGGTTTCTCACTTGAATAACAGGAAATCATCTTGAAGTCATTCATTAGTGAACATATGATGATTATGATCAGAATGAGGTTCGTGAAGAATTGTGTTAATTTTCAATAGTTGAATGTATATATCAATGTAAGCTAGATCATCATTGGAAAACTTGGAAGTATTGAACGATTGTTTCGTTCTAGCAGTACACATTCACAACCATGCACATGGGGACTCGAACCTGGGATATCGAGTCTTACGTGTGAATAATTAATCTCTAGATCACTGAGTTAGCATCCAATGATGTTAATATCTTACTTCCATCGATCCATGAATGGCTACGCAACTATTGATTCATTTTCTGAGATAGATATTTGTCTCTATCCGACACGGATTGGACTCCAGTGGTTATGGTTTCTCACTTGAATAACAGGAAATCATCTTGAAGTCATTCATTAGTGAACATATGATGATTATGATCAGAATGAGGTTCGTGAAGAATTGTGTTAATTTTCAATAGTTGAATGTATATATCAATGTAAGCTAGATCATCATTGGAAAACTTGGAAGTATTGAACGATTGTTTCGTTCTAGCAGTACACATTCACAACCATGCACATGGGGACTCGAACCTGGGATATCGAGTCTTACGTGTGAATAATTAATCTCTAGATCACTGAGTTAGCATCCAATGATGTTAATATCTTACTTCCATCGATCCATGAATGGCTACGCAACTATTGATTCATTTTCTGAGATAGATATTTGTCTCTATCCGACACGGATTGGACTCCAGTGGTTATGGTTTCTCACTTGAATAACAGGAAATCATCTTGAAGTCATTCATTAGTGAACATATGATGATTATGATCAGAATGAGGTTCGTGAAGAATTGTGTTAATTTTCAATAGTTGAATGTATATATCAATGTAAGCTAGATCATCATTGGAAAACTTGGAAGTATTGAACGATTGTTTCGTTCTAGCAGTACACATTCACAACCATGCACATGGGGACTCGAACCTGGGATATCGAGTCTTACGTGTGAATAATTAATCTCTAGATCACTGAGTTAGCATCCAATGATGTTAATATCTTACTTCCATCGATCCATGAATGGCTACGCAACTATTGATTCATTT